TGACGCAACCATAACACACGGTACTTGATGGGAACTCTCAACATACTAGCCTGACGACATCAGGATCAGAGAAAGGGCAACAAAAGTGCCGCAGGATTAATGGGAGTTTCCTAGGCTTATGTTTTCGATTATCTAAGTTGCGAAATACCCGAGATACAATTCTTTAAACTTTTTCTCATTATTTAGTAGACACCCGTTACGTAACATGGATACAATGGTGGTGACAATATTTGGTATTATGTTAAGTGATTTATTTGATATTTTGTGTGTTCGATCTATTTTATGTGATATTAAAATTATTTGTTTTGTATTTAAGTGTACATAACTAAGACCCGATTTGTTTAATTAATCAGATCGAAGCACGTCTGTAAAGTTCCGGGAAACATGCAATCAAATGATGACCTCGTCGTTCAGTAGGTAGCTTCAAGCCCATGGTATATCACAACGCAGAAGATATGTGAGGTAAGAAAAGAAGTAAGAGCTTCAACTTTCAAGGCAATCACTGCTTGACAGCTTCATAACTCTAGTTCCAGAATCTATAACTTTGAGTATGTAAAGAAGTTACCAGGTCTGTTGTTCTGTCTCCCAATCATGTGATACATGATTTGGCTCTAGATTTCTACGGTGCTTCTATTCTGACAACTGATTCCTTGTTTTCTGTTCATGTATCTTCCTTAGCCCCTTGCAAGTTTATGTGGGTATGCAATATGCATCATGAGCTTGAGAATCTTTAGACCATTGCAATATGCTTTTGTCTTTTTGTTTAAATAAAAAACAGCTAAATATATACCATGGTTTGGTTTTATTTTATTAAAAGCACCCACGGACGGCTGACGGCTGGATGCCCACAGTTTGCCACGGCTGTGGGCTGCTGAGGGGCGGCTAGGTTGTAGAAAATTGCAGCCGCGCAGAACTCTAATGAGAAGCCTGTTCTTCCTTTTAGATGCTCACCCGACAACAGCAACAGTGCCCCTTAGCTTGTTATGCTCTTCTCCTGAATAAGAAGAGTCTTAAGGGTCTTTTGGAGCTTGCTAATTATGCAGAATCACGACCCATTAAAAGATGCTTAAACTTACGAACTTGTTAGAAGACACGCCTGTGTGTGTATGTACTTACATGATCTTCAAGCTTACAAATGTCAACACACATATTTGTCTGGAGCTGCCTCATTAGAATGTAACGGATGTATAGTACCTTTATTGGCATCGTAGCAGGGTCAGCTATAGGGTTCTGTCGAGATGCTTTTAATATACAAAGCACATTTTTACATACAAAAAAAAGGAACTTACATTTTCACATATTCAGTCTCAAGTCCAATTTCTAATTTTCTAAATTTGATATTCCTTTATTTCATATCGTGAAGTTTGTTGTTTATGCATCATTTCCGCGTTGCCTTTTTATTTCAAGTTGTTAGTATTTTTCTTATTTCGTTTATGCACGACACAATCTAATTATTTTCAGTCGTCGATTGTTGAAAATGGAAATTCTAGCCGCTTGTGGAACCTCAGCTGATTGGACAACAGCTTTCGAAAAAAAGATCAGCTCACAACGGCTGAAAATCGGGATATTCCCAACCAAAATCACTGATTAACTTTCCTTACCTGACGTGCCGAGCGTCTCCTTTCCCCACAGCTCGTTCGCTACCGCCAGGGTCCCGGTTTTGGTGGTGTCTGTCTCTAACAAGCCTCTGAAAACTAGGCCAGTCCACCAGTTCGTCTACGCAGCGGTACCAGATTTCAGAGGCTCCAGTTTCCCCGCCTCACCAGTCTGCAGGGTCGACCAGACTCCACAGCCGCCCCGGCACCACTGTCTTCCCGTCCGGTGCTGTGATTATAATCTCCGCCGGGCACCGTCTGTCGTCTGTCAGTCGCTCTGACCTCCACCGCACCCCGTGGCGCACGGTTCGACCCGACGACCGCGACCGCCGACGGGTCAGCGCCGCGCCGCGCCGCCGACTGACCACCGGCCGAGTCGAGACCGACGCGCCGGCCGAGCGGCGGGCAGAGCGCGGCAGAACACTCCGAGCATCGAGATCGATGGTGGCCCAGCTGCCGTCGGCCGACCCGTGCCGTCATCCGCCGCCTCCGCGGTGCCGCGCGGCGCCGGACGTCATCGGCGGCGGCGGCGAATGAATGGAGCCGCGGCGGCGGCGGCGGCGGCGGTGGCGGTCTCGAGACGTTCTCTGGGTGCCCGGGAGGGAGCTCGGCTCCCCAGAGACTAGCGCGCTGCGTTAGGGGAACTAATGGTGCGGCAACAACAGGTGATAAGCAGCACGGCTGATGAGCCAGGCAGTAATCTGCGCCAGCTGACGAGCAGTCCATGTGAAACAGCACAATGTATCGCCTTTATGGTAACGCACAACGCATATATGTTGTTGTCAGAGCATAAACGAAGATGTTATGAGAGGCTTGTCGATGGCAGGAATGCTGAAAGGGTAGTTCAGTGGGCGTGGAGTGTGGCAAAAAATGGGCATGAATTGGGCGCATAAACAATGAAGGTGTGGGGTATGAAGGTGTGGGGTAGGCTCCCACTTCAGCCGTAGCCTGGGGGGTGGGGGAACAAGGGCCAGGAGGAGGAGGAGCCCTCCTGTAAATGGGCCACAAGTGCCCGTTGGAGGGAGGCCTGAATAAAAAAAAAGACTTTGCCACCGAAGTGTTTATCTTGACAGCCCGGTACCTTGTTTTACATTCGGCCATGAAGCGGGATAGATACATGTTTCATGATGAAAAGAACTTTCTCCACGTGTTCAGTACTCATAGATAAGCGAAAAACTTTGGCAGAGAAGAACTTATCTGGCAAAGTTCTTATCTGCATCACTGATCGCCCACGAATGCGTGCATATTTCGAGCATTTCTCCTGCATCCTGCATTGTATGCATAAGAGTTGATGCGATCTGGAATAAATAGCACCCCCTACGCACGATAAAGTCGAAACATTTTCATCAGACTCTAGATTTGACGACAAAGTTCGTCCAGCTGCGCCCATGGCGTAGTTAGGCGGTACGGATCTTCTCTTTACCCTGATGCAACACCGGTCTCAGTTTTATGATACCGCTGATTGGTTGACACTCGTTTCGCAGGCACACCCACGGGGATAAGTGGGTCCTCGATGATTGCATCAGGGCGCCGCCCACAGTGCCCGCAGGATGATCGCCTCAGGCGGTTGGTGTGGGCGCTCAAAGTCAACGGCGGGTGATCCGTTTGGACTCGACTGTTGACAGGGCCATGGGACGATCCGGTCATCTTCGTGTGAGGCGGAACAGGGGGGGGGGGGGGGTCATTTTTTGGAGGATGTGGACGTGGAGGAAATTGTTGTCAGAACGTTTTATTTTTATTTTGCTTCATGGCTTGGTATATGATTAAGATTTTTGAACCAATAATGGCTGAATAAATTGTGCATGGGTTAATAAACTTTTCAACTAATAATGGCTTAATAACTTTTGCATGGTTCTGCATAGCTTTGAAGCGGCCCCTACCGTGGACCTTTGCTCCTGTTCAAAGGGAATTCCATTAACACGAGCAGCTAAAAGGGTAGAACGGTTGTTCGTTTTCTAAGAAATTTGAGCTTTTTGTAGGTTGCATCTATCCAATTCACTGATTGCTAGCGAATACACGCATAATTTTGCATGTATGTGCGTGCCCAGTCATGTGTCGGTAAATTCTAGTCCTGCCTCTGATATCATTTTTTAATCGTAACAGCAATTAACCAGTAGACCGACCTGGCTTCTTAAATCCCTTCTCACGCCCGCTAATGCCTCAATCGATCCCGTACCTGACAGGATCGGCCGCTGGTACACGGAGGGGGGTCGGGTCTCGACGCCGAGCGATACCGCAGGTAAAGGTGATCAGAAATCCCCTGTGGTGAGGGCGGATACGCGCCGTCACCGCGCTGTCATCGGCCTCACAGAGAGGGATTTGTAAGGAGGTCGAAGGTCGGAGGTGACGGCGCCGGTGGGGTTACGGGTACCTATTTAGGCGCTGGACTGGACGTCGGTCAGCGAACGGTAATTTGTCGCTATTACGGATACCTATAGCGTCTTTTGGGCGTCAATTTGTTACAGAACTGCAGTGGTGAAGATCTCATAGGCATTGTGTTAGTTCCAATACTAAAGTTGTGTAACTGCGTGTCTGTTAATGAGTATTTAATGCTAGTCAGATTTGCGTATAGGTACATGGGTGGCGAACTCAGTTACATATAGCATCGTGTTCAAGGAATGTTTGACATTGTTTATTTTTTCAACGATATGTTTCAGATGCATGATTGATAGAGGGATGTTTAAATTATAAGCGGCCCACCACTGATCCTATAATGCAGCTCAGGATATAAAATAGCATGCCAGGCTGGTCTGACTCACTCGATTATCCTTTCTTCATTCAGTTTCAAGTAAACAGCAACAGTGGCTTCTGCCTTCATAACAGATATAGAACTTAGTTCTCCACAGCTCAGACACGCGCCACACGAAAGGCAGAAACCCGCTCGCCAGCGCCTACATTTATGTGCTCGGAGAACGGATGGCCATGATATTCCACATTTGTGAAACTGATTTAGTATCGGTGCATTCCGATAAGGCTATGGGCATCGTCACTCACATGCTAAATACGGCCATTAGGATGGTCCCTTCGTTACATTTCTTTTAAGCCGGTAAATTGACTCAGGTAATACCTAATTGGATGGCTGACCCAGTGTCGGATTACATGTCTTTCCCACCCGGTGGCCGGTACCCTAATTCCCTGCAGACACCCCTGACCTGCACCCCTGTCACTCAATCAAGACCCTCGGCCTCCTTACTAATCCCTCTCTTTGAGACCGGCGGCAGCGGCCCCCTTTCTCACTGTGTGGTGGCCTAAGACTCCATACCAGCGTTATCGCTTCTCAGCGGGACGCGGTCCCTCTGGTCGGGCCCAGACAGGGGGCAAGGGTGAAAAGTGACGAAATGTCAGCACACGCGGAGGACGCTGGTCAGTTGTGTGCGTGTCGTGGAAGAAGCAGGACGTCTTGTTGCCGCTCTTCAGCCGACTTCAGCCGCCCTGCAAGCGCTTCAGTGTGCTCTACAAGAGCGTCAGTCGGTCTCACTCTGCTCTACAAGAGCCTCAGCCGCTCTCAGTCTGCTCTACAAGAGCCGCAGCCGCTCTCAGTTTGCTCTACAAGAGCCCAAGCCGCCTTCAGTCTGCCCGACGAGCGCGGCAATCTCTTTCGGTCTGCCCTTCAACTGTGCTCGGCGTGATCTTCGGTCAACGTCTCCAGCTTCTTCCGTCCACACAGCATGGATTTCTCGGTCCAAGAGATGTTTGCTGAGCTGCAGGACTTCGAACAGGTAAGAATGTCTTTTGAATCTAAATAAACTGTATTTCCGCTTTTCGAATTGGCGCGCAGTGAAGCACAAATGCGATACAATATCCGTCATGTGTTCGAGTATCAACCACGAACACTGTTTAAAAGATCGTTTTATGGAAAACGAGAAAAGTAGATTCCATAGTCTGCAATTAGAATTTGCGTATTCTTTTCTCAGAAGTTCAATGATTTTCAGGAGGCAGGAATTAATATTCCAGTATTAGTTTTCCTTGGCGAAATTTGATGGTCAGTGTTCGCAGATGCTTCGAACTTCAGATTATACAGAAAAGATTCTGAATTACGCAATTTTCGCCTCAGAATGGCCGAGTAGCATGCGTTGTATAATTTTTTTTCCATAGATTATGCCTTGAAGCCTTTTCTTGAAGTGTCTATTTATTCTGCACATTTAATTAATTAGAGCAATTATAGCGCAGTAGATATGGTGTAAAATAGCTTTGAATCAACTACATATACTAACAGAGGCTTCCTTCTAGAGTCTGAAAATGTCGGAGCTGATGGGTGAAAGGACTGAGGACATGTCGTCGCTTCTGCCGAGTCCTGGGTATGGGACCATCGACTGCGATCTTCTGTCTGCGTTCAAAGGTGAGCTATGCGTTTTTTACATGAATTCGTGTTTTTGGTTCATGTCGATAAGTGTAAACTATATTTTTCGGGCCTGTGATGAAGCTTTTCGTCTTTCTAGATCAGTCAATTACTTTTATTTCACGAACTGTTGCCATGGGCGGCGCCACCGGGGGGGACGGGGGGGACAGGTCCCCCGCTATCGAAAGTTAGGGGGGTACAGTACCCCCCTATCGGCGAGGCCCGTTCAATAGTTGATAATAATGCATTATAGAGCTATCCGTCGCATTTAATGCATCGTTGGTTAATCAAGGCAGGTTCTGAATAAAGATTGCTGTTGGGATGCATCGCAGGGGGTCCTGGCCATCTGCAAAAGGTGTGGAGCTGTGATGCCTGTATAGTTATAAGGTGATCGGCAAGGCCTCGGGGATCGTGCCCCCTTTTTGAGGCGCCAGGCAGGGTTATTACTTATTACCTCCCCACCCCACTGCCAGACCCCATTGCCGATAAAACCAAGTTCACTGAAATTCCATAGATTTCCGTTACTATATGAAAATTTTCCATTCCTAATTAGTCAAATTCAAGCATGGCAGTTCTACCACAGGAACCATTTGAAATCTATGCCATTTAACCCCAGCACTTGTGGGGAAAAGTGTTCGGATAGATCACAGGCAGGACCAAAAAAGCACGCAGTAGCCCAAGACCTTATAATTGGATATAGCATCGGCTCCCTCTCGTCAAGGGGTTCGATAGCACTCGTTTTTTTTTTCTGCAAAACTAAGTTCTGTCGGCGGCCGAACGGCTGGGGGTCTAATCGAGCCCCCCATCCCTCCCCTTCTTACGTCAGCGGCTGTGAAAATGCCATTATCAGCTGTTGAAACATGGCAGTTGCTTTTGCATGAGTCCACGAAAGGGTTTTAGGTCCGTGATACGTGAAAGGTTCTACATGAAAATTGAGATACACCAGCTTATCAAATTGTGCTCACTGTGGTGCGCTCGGTTTACCTTGACTAGTCTTTGAATTCTGGGGTGAAACAGACCAGTCAAGAAACCTGTTCCATAAGGAGAGCCACTAATGCTAAAGAGATGTGGGATGAGGTTTCCAGAGACCTTCATTACCTCCCAAAGGGGGTGCCCCGGCATTTGCCAATCCCTGCTGTAGTTGTTACGATTGGAGGGTGAATATGAGAACGATGCAGGTCGTGCCAGCTCGATCATGACGAACACAATGGTGCCGACATCACAGCTCTACTGCCATTTTTGACGAAGTTAATCAACAAGCACCGGAATCCTACCCTGGGGCATTTCATCTGCAGAGTTCGCCGGACCTGAGACCCTTTCACTCAATTTTTTTCAACGGTGCATGCGCTCGTTTTTCCCGCGAAGCTCTTGGCAAGTAAAATCCATCAGAAAACGTGATCAAATAACGGCTGGTGACCTTCCATGACCTAGCATGGCCTTTTGAGTGACCACCGATGACATGACCACTGACGGCTAGCCATTAGCTGCACCCTGCCCGTTGCATATGGATCAGGCGGTGATGTCATGATTCTGAAATTATATTGCAGTTTTGGCGCACTTGTCAGAGCAGAAGACATTCCCACTTTTCCTCCATGACTATATGATGGTGAAGCCCTGAAGCTGACCAGACGTAAGATCGAAAATTTGAAAGTACGAAACGTAAGAATAGCTGGCACTGCTACTCATACCTAAGCAATTCGCAGCTTGTAGGAAACCAGCTTTGAGTTGGCAAGACTGCAAATTTTGATTTAGAGGCAAGGATGCTTGAAAAGGTGATCGATCTTAGGTGTCCTAGGATAAGTTTGGAAACGGGATGCACCATTCGATGTGTTTTGGGCCTTGCCAAGTTTCGCGGCGTTACGTGCCTCGTTTTTTTTTTGCATACACGATCAGTATCTACTTTTGGGATTTTCGATTTTCGGTCCCCGTCCCCCCCTATCGAAAACCCGTGGCGCCGCCCCTGACTGTTGCAATAAACAGTGAATTGGTTGTCAAAATTACTTCACTTCTGTTACTTTGGATTATTTTACTTGTTTCATTTCAATATTGTAGCCATTTTTTAGTCTGAAGGTGTAGAACCTGCGTTCTCCGATTATTTGCAAACTGCATGCGTTGTACACCTATATGCAATATTACGACGATAATATTCACGACTTATTTACTGTCTATAAATGCCAGGGCATATTTTAACATACTGACTGCGTCCCATTTTGGGACGCAGCCCCCTGCCTTTGGGACGTAGCCCTCGCGAAATTTGGACCACTGCGTCCCACACTGAAATGCCACGGTTTCAGCCGAAAAGTGCGAGCAAAAATAAGTAACATGCCTCGGTCTTTTACTGTGTAAAAGATGTTGGCTTTCCGATTGCTTTGTGCCCTGATTTACTATGATTTACACGTACCTAAGCACATACATGCCCTCTCCAGTCCTTGTGCCCTGCCCTACCCTTGGTCATACACCTTATTATGTTCTTCCCTACTATACCGGAAATGCTACCAAAGTTGTTCTGTTTTTACCCCGTTCTTTATGTCAGTTAATGGCCAAGTTGCGTATGATTTTCACAGTAATGATAATCACCTGTCCCCTTGATTTTAAGAATGTTTTACGATTAACCCTCGCCGGCACAGGCGATTTTGAGTCCTTCGACGGCACAGGGGGGGGGGGGAAAGGGGGGTTGGTACGACCCCCCTCGCGTTTGGCCCCTGATGGAGCTAGAGCTTCGCGGAAAAACAAGCGTGTTGCCCGTCACGAGAGGAAGCCAATGATACCCAATTTCAAGGTCCTAGGCCATCGGTTGACCTTCCAGGTCAGGTCAATGACCCTAAAATCGGGAATATCGGGACCTGTTAGAAAGTCGTAAAGTGTGGCTACTAGGTGGTTTTCCGGGGTGCTGATCACGAATATCGTGTTAGTTTTGATCTCAGATGATGTCTTTAAGCGTTTAAACCAGGTCAGGTCAGGTCAGGTCAACCAGCAGGGGTCGTGACGGGTATTCGTAGTACCTGTCATCCGCCTCTGACAGCTTCGTAACATGCTACGAAGGCACCAAAACTACTTCGTGAATGTTCACATGGTTGCTAAATTCGAATTCAGCTCCAAAAACTAGCTTAAAAACATGTAAAACTCGAAAAAGTGAACCGAGGTCACCAAAGGTCAATGACCTGACCTTCAGGTGACCTTGACACCCACCCTAATGCATGGGAGCAACATCAAATCACATGTTTGAATGTTTGAAACCACGAAAAGCTTGCAAACGCGCGGCTAATGCGAGCCGACATACGCCGAATCGCGATTCCGACCAATGGTCTCCGACCATGGTCTCGGAAAAGAGGTTACAGGTCAAAGATCATTTGGGTCAGGGTCATGAAATTTTCAGGGTAGGTGTAAAATTAATTAATGCGAGGTTACTGAAAGTTCCGTCGCGATCGGCCGCTTTTTACGCGAGTTATTCGCGAAAAACCTTAGGGGGGCTGCATCAACCCCCCCGTGCCGGCGAGGGTTAAGAATAAACATCTAAAAATTGTTCAACCTGTGCGTCACAATACTACTTTCTAACAGTCGCCGTTTCTTCGCAGTGGATCCAGTGGAGGTGGCGCATACCCCGCATGCCAGACCTTCCCCCGCTACTGTCACCCCCACCGGGGGCAGCCGAGCCCCCACCAGCCCCGTTCGGCGCCCCAGTGGTGACCATCGCAGCAGCTCGAGCTGGAGTCTCAGCTCCCTGATGCACACCGCTCAACTGAGGTCGCTGAAGGCCCGGGTGCCGCCGAGGTTGCCTCGCATCAGGATCAGCCGCTCGGGACCTACCTGGTCTTCTACTGTGGTATTCTGAAGAGATCGTTCTTCCCTTGCAAAGAGCTGGGCTGCAGTGTGGGATCATACGAGCCAGCGTGGGGCCACTGAGATGGTGTGAGGAAATGCTAGGATCCTAGCATTTCTATAGGATTCTAGAATGCTAGGGCAAAGATGTGCCCACGATGTGCCGGGATCGAGTGCTTTGTGAGGTTTGATGCTGCGCAATTTGTGAGAGGCGGGCTGTTACAGGGCGAATACGGGTCTGTCAAAATGTGATCTGTTAGAAACGAACCACGTGATCCACTATATGTAAAGTGCTGGACTTCATCATCTATGACGTCTGTTAGATTTTCGAGTGTGAGTCTATGCGATCTGTTAGAATCGAAAATCTTCCCCATAGTCTATGTGATCTGCAGTAGCCATGTGATATTTGAACAAATGGATCTCATATTGTGATAGCCTCACTTTCACTGTTCGCTAAAACATAGCCACTTGTTTAAATAAATGCTTAGCCACATGTTGAACAGGCGACAGGCTGGCACATTGCTATTGATGTGCCCAAACGGCAGATAAAAAGCTAACTCGATTTGTGATAGTTTGTAGTTGCAAGTTCAAACTAGAGATGTCAATCGGATACCAACTTTTTGGTACACCGATACCAAACCTATATCAACTTGGTATTTGGTATTTCAATCCTAATGTAGGTACTTGGTATTTTGTTGGTATTATGAGTCTCACTAATGTGTAAGAGGCTGAGGAATTGGTAAATAGTCGGTATGTCCCTCATGTTATTAAGCTGGTTCGGTAACGGTATTTCCTTACGGTTTATATTGGGATTTGGTTTGGTATCGGTATTCAGATTTTCTGTAATTGACATCACTAGTTCCAACGTCAAGTGTCATTAGTTGCAATACTGTGGCTGTACAAATAAGAATGTTAGATTACGACGAATAGCCCATTCATTGCTCAATGTCCAGTCCTACCTTCACATTGTGGTTTCATGTATAATCATCCCGACCATCGTCACCAATATACATTTGAGAAACTTGAACGGTCTATAATCGAGTGGTCTCTGACGAAAAAAAAGCTTTGTGGCTTTAGAGGTAATCACTGTTTTATGTCTGATTCTACCCACCACATAAATTGTTGAACATAAAACGTGCGTTTTACCAAATTCGCATGGATCACGTTTGTCAAATAGATCGATCCCAGACAAGTTGGTCCGAGGAATGTTTGACCACTGACCAGCAATGCTCTAATCTTTATTTGTCTCGACTTTTGTTGGCCTGGGGCTCGACAGATTCGACACCTGCGGCACTCAACCGATGGAAATGTGTTAAGTTTCAGATTGCAGATGAAGAAATACATAGAGAAACGAAACTTCTTTCAATATTTAACGGATAGTGATCGGCGATGCTCGGACCAGACACGCAACTCTTGTTATCCTGCGCTCCTTCCCCTTGATTCAGGTGTCGCTAGCAGATTATGTTTTAAGAGCCTTTTGCCGTTTCGGAGCGATGGTTTTTAGGTAAAAAAAAGCGGTATTTGATGATATTTATTGTGTTCTTGTACTTCTGGAGAATGACAAAGAAGTTTATGCCAATTAAGGCCGTCTTAAGTTCGAGATAGTTTGTCATTTCTTTTGATGTTTCAGAGTTTCCTGAAGGTAGGTGGCAGGGCGAAGACCTAAGCAGCTTGTACAGGTGGCAGCACTGAGCAGACTCGTGCACTGACCGCCTGGGCTTGGACCCGTAGGACGCTCGAGCACTATCCATATCGGGACGTTGCTCTATGTAGTAATTCACATATTTTAGACGGAGTAATTAAACACAAACGAGCATATACGTTCCTTTTTCCCCTAGGACCCACCCATCTCCATCATTGACCAGCGACCATAGGTACCTAGTTTAGTTCCCTTTTCCGAGCAGACTGTCAGCCCATCAGAACAGTCGGTGAGGGCAGCTTCCATAGGGTCTGGGTCACATCCTATTGGGGTGGCCGTTTGTCTGACCCACCGTTGACAGTTCCAGCGTGGCACACCAACTCCCAACAGGGACCAGCTCAGGCGCTCAGCCCCTGCAGGTGTGTGTGTACTGTGCTGTGTGCAGCGCACCGATCGGCGGCATAATCCGTCCAATGTCTACATCTTATCAATTGTGTCATATTCTGTCATCCCATACGTTTTTAATGATTTCACCTATAAAAAGCTGGAAGGTTCAGTCGAAAACAAAAACCAAATAGATATCGTGTCGAGAAGCGTGGCTTGAGCGTAGGTACTGGAGTAACGAAATCATGCTGGTAATTATTTAGGAATTAGACGACGTGGACTATTGCGTGCAGCATTTGTTTATCTAACTGTTACATGTTTAATGATTTCACTATGCCCGCCAACAATTGAAGATCTTCCTAACGAGAACAGCCGTTGCTAATGAGTTTGAGCTAGGATGGGACTTCTTTATTCCGACTCGGTTTATTCATAGCCGTTTTCACGACGGCCATCTGATACACATTTGGTGCAGATTAGGTGCAAATTTGGTCAAATTAGGTTCAGTGTATCTCTTAGTAGCTATGAGCTAGGGTTGCGCTAGTTGCTTATATGCCTGCTTTGTCATATCATCAGAGAGTATCATCGATTAAAACACTGAAATAAATTCACAATGGCCGTTTTCACGACGGAACTTTCGCAGAGGAACTTATTTGATACCTAAAAAGTACCTACCCTTAGAGGCCTTAACATCCCTCAAACTGAAATATTTTATGTTCAAAATAATTTTAGAAGTTTAAATCCGGGCATTTTTTGCCCTCAAATCACTTATTTATTTACAAACACAGCAATTTTTGGTTCTAGTAGCCCACCTTTCGACTATGAGGTATTAAATCAGCGTGGCAACTTGCTCCCTCTTTGCTCCCTCGGGTATCTAATTCCGGAATTCTTAAAAACAAGGAAAGTATATATCGAGTTCTCTTTTATACCTATTCAGTTACGTTTTAATGGTGATTAAAATATGACAAATTTTTTAATTACATTTCATATAAGAAAACACGCAAAACAATGAAACAAAAATAACTACGGCAGATAATTACCTTCAGGTATCTAATTCCGACCAATCAGCACCTCAGTAGGATATGACGTCATACAAGAATGGTGGTGAAGGCCGTTTGCAGTCCCGGCCGGTAGGTCACGTGACCGCCGGGCGCCTCGGGTCACGCGGCGGTCGGGAGTCGGACGCGGGGCGTGGTCGCGGGCGGACGCGCGGGGCATCATGCTTTGCTTTGCTTGCTTTGTCAACTTCATATAAATTACTATCGCATTCGTGTGAAAGCCAAACACTGCTCAGTGCCTTTAGAAATTGAGTTTTGGAAAGCTCAAGTCCCTATAGCTCCTCAGGTCGGCAACAGTTGAAGCCTCATCTGAACCCATGTGAAAAAAACGAGGGTAAGGAACCTTGTGTTGCTTTTTCTTTTACCCTCATAATTATCTCAAACCATCACAATTTTGAGTTGCCACATTGTCTGCTTCACTACATTCGTGTAAAACTTTGGTGAAGGCTGGTGGCTCAAAGAAAGGTGAAGATATTTCTTTAAGTGCCTAATCCGTGAAATTGAAATATCCCGGCTTTACAAATCTACACTTTTCATTTTCTCCACGATACATTTTTTAAAATTGTTTAAATTTTATCTACATTTGTTAAAATCGGGGCTTTGGTTTTGTGTAAATTAGATCATAAAGTTTACTATAGTTTTGTGTAACCTGATGGCTGAAGAAAATAGTAATTTTGCTAAAATGATGTGCGGAAATTTGTTGCTTTCCAAATCAAATTACTCATACCTATATTTCATTCAAAATTAGGAGGCATTATTACTGTTTTTTCTTGTAACATGAACTGAGTTTGGGTACGGTGCTCCGGAAACGTTGTGGAACTTTAAGCTAGCTAGAGCAGTTTCCATAAAAATTGTTTAGATAGTTGACATGGCTTGTTGACAACTCTTTTGCTGTTTCTAAAAAAGTGAAAAAAAAATATTTTCCTGCATTAAGCACACAAGGCATGTTATTCTCATAAGCTATCGAATGTGTGTGTGTTTTTTAAGCTGTTTTTTTAAGCTTTTAAGCTGTAACTTCAGTTACTTCACTTTAGAACATATTGCCCAGAATGCGTCACTGATCATGAGCTGGTATATCATATCATATGTAGCAAATACATAAATGAGAATAGTGTGTCATGAATTTTTGTGCATGCTTCTGGATCATCTGTAATTACATCAAAGGCTTGGCTCAAGAGTGTCCTGCCGACCAGCTTATGCCCAACCCTTTCTGTCCGCAGAACGTCGCCTGCGACTCCCGCACGCCGTTTGCCCCGGCCGTCCGTACTGGTCTTCGCGCTGCGAGCCGCGCTGGAGTTCGCGGCGGCGTCGTGGAGCTCCCATCGGGACGGCGTGTGATGCCCGCGTCGAGCTTATAAGCCGTGAGCTTCGATTGGCGGCTCACGCGGTCACCAGCTGTATGTACAGCCTCGGCCCCGACGACCCCGCTAATGGCCGAGACCGGCATACCCCCGGCATGGGTCCGCTGTCCGGCGCAGCGCTGGCCGCCCGCATGCTATGCTACTTTTGGCTGTATCGCTGCCCAGCGGGAGCGCGCTCCACGCTGCGGAAGAGGTACACGTTGCGACCCGACTGAGGACTGCAACCGGATGGTGACACGTCGGCCTCTGCGCCCTGGCCGGGGCAGGCGTGACCGACGTCACAGTGGAGGAACGCCCAAACAAGACCAGCCCACCGTCGGAGCAGCATGAAAATATCATGTTCTGCCTGGACGTCGGACTCGGCGGCCGCAGTGCACCTGCACACGTGCGGAGAGGGGCGCTGGAGGCTACTCTGGAGCTTCTGCCATTCCGCGGCGCGACTGCTGGCAAAACGGCGGCGATTGGGGCGGTTGGGAACAGCTGCAGCAATGGTGATGGCGGTGATGGCGACATGGCGGTTTGGGACTTCATCTCAGCGCGGCCGCCGCCCAGGCGCCGCTGCGCCCGGCTGCTCAGCCACCTACCGGATGGCGGGGTGGCCCTTACGGCCCTCACGCCCGTTCGGTCTGCGGCCACGTTGTGGGGTGGCGGTCGCGG